GTTACGACTCTAATAAAAGCAAAACTACTATACAAAGCTATCACAATCAATATACAACTAGTATATCCTAAATTAAGGAAAGACTCAAGGATTTGTAATTATAGTGAATCAGTTGTCAAGCATAAAATATGAAGATTTAAATGGCTAGTTGAGATTTCTTTGACAATTATAGTACCATACTTTTAAGGAATAGTAACCTCATCTTGATTTGGATACTTTCTTTGAATTTGAATAACACCACCATCCCTAACTTTACAAGTTGAATTCAATGAATGGCTAAAAGTATGAGTAAATTAATTTGGCATTTTTGTATGGCATTATGAAACCAATCAACTTTATACACTTTAGAATATGGAAGAAAAGTTAGGATTTGTAATCGTAATCCAAATTCTAGTCAGCCAGTGTGTTCATATTCTAAACCATTTCTGGTGATTCAATCAAAAAACCAAAGTCAAAGAATGGATTCCAACAATTTGATATAAAAATGCTTTTGGACTCTACTAAGTGGTTGATATGTCGTTGTAAATAAGCTAAATAAAAGGTTGTCTTATAAAAATTTCACCTTTCAACATCCTAATTTATGCCCAAAATTTATGTGGCACTTAAACAAGATAATTTGGTTTCTAATCCCAGATTAAGATTAAACCATCTTTTAATTTAAAGGAAAAATGAGTAACGAAAAGGCAAAGACAAAAAATTTAGCGAGTGTCAAAAGAGAAATTAACGAAAAGGCAAAGACAAAAATCAAGCGAAGACAATCAATAGTGAATTGAAGTCTAAAATAATAGTAAATGAATAGTAAATATCTTAGTTCTTTTAGTTTGTTCATACTAATATATATTAAATTAAAAATAAAAGATAAAATTTTTATTTAATTTCATAATTTTTAATCAAATTTTGTATCTCATTCGTGCTTCTTTATGTTTTTAATAGATTTTTTTTTTTAAAAAAAAACACAATTTATTTTTTTCTATTCATTCATTTTTAAATAAAAACCTACAATAATATAAATATAAAATTTAATATAAAATTTTTAAAAATATCTTAATATTTTTTTATAATACTATATCGGATAAATATATCAGCAATCTATATAAATTTAGTAATGAATCTTTTTAAACTTTTTAAAAATATGCACATTTGATATATAGACATATACACACACGAAACCAATTAATAATATTAGGTATAAAAACGTGTATTTAAATTATTAGGTGATTCCTTTAAAATATTATTTTATTTAAAATAAAATAAATTTAGAATATTAAAAATAAATAATAAGAAATAATTGGTGTTATATGTGTGAATGCAAAATTAATTTTTAATAAAATCAACGATCTCAATACTTTTTTGTATACATCATTACATCATTACCATCACCGTATAAATTAAAAAATATATTTAAAAAAATTAAGTTGTAAGAAATATATTAAAATTAATAGAGTGTAATAAAAATAATTTAAAATTTTATTTCAAAAAAAAAAATTTGATTATATCAAGAATAAGGTAAAGAAACACGTGAATTCTATTATTTATTAAAAAAACATATTAAAATTCATACACAAAGAAACATAAATCATATTTATTAAAAATAAAATTTCATAAAAAATAATAAGTTTAATTTGATGAGAATTTTTATAATAAATAAAAAATTTAAGAGATTAATTTTAATTAATAAAAAATATAATTCGATATATATGTTTGTTCTAAATTTAAAAACTTAAGAAGCCAAAAACATCTTTTAAAAATATGAGGAACAAAAACTATATTTTGAAAAAAAAATGAGACAAAAATGGATTAAGTTAAAAACATGAGATGTCAAAATATTTTTAAAAATATAAGGGTTTAAAAATACATTTTGAAAATATAAGGGATTAAAAATGAATGCAAGTATGAAATTTGAAAATGAATGTCCAAAAGGTTATAAAACAATTATGAAAATACCATTGCAAAAAATTACAAAATAGTCATAATGTGAATACTGAATAAAGGCAAATGAATAGTAAATAAATAGTGTTTTACTGTTCATTTGCCTCATTTAGAATATTAAAAATAAATAATTGGAAATAGTTGGTGTTATATGTGAATGCAAAATTAATTTTTAATAAAATCGATGATCTCAATACTTTTTTGTATACATCATTACATCATTACCATCAATGTATAAATTAAAAAATATATTTAAAATGATTAAGTTGTAAGGAATATATTAAAATTAGTAGAGTATAATAAAAATAATTTAAATTTTTATTCTAAAAAAATTGATTATATCAAGAATAAGGTAAGAAACACTTGAATTCTATTATTTATTAAAAAAATATATTAAAAATTCATATACAGAGAAAGATAAATCATATTTATTAACAAATAAAATTTTATAAAAAATAAAAAAATTTAATTTGATGAGAATATATATATATATATATGTTTGTTTTTTTAAAAATTTAAAAGCATAAGAAGCCAAAAACATCTTTTAAAAATTTGAGGAACTCAAAATATATTTTGAAAAAATGTGAGACAAAAATGGATTTAGTTAAAAACATGAGACGTTAAAATATTTTTAAAAATATAAGGATTTAAAAATAAATTTTGAAAAAATAAGGGACCAAAAATGAATGGAGTGCAAAATTTGAAAATGAATTTTCAAAAAGTTACAAAAAAAATTACAGAAATACATTGCAAAAAATTACAAAATGACCATACTCGTGAATAGTGAATAAAGGCAAATGAACACTAAATGAATAGTATTTCACTATTCATTTGCCTTACTTCTTTTAATGATATAGATTTAGTTTTTTTGTCTCACGCTTACACTCGTGAGTTGGATAAATTATATAAAATCATTTAGAAAGATTATTTCAATTTGATAATCTGTTTAATAGTGTGAATTTAGAAAAATATTTGAAATCAAAAGTGAAAAAAATTATTTATAATTTTTTAATAAAATATTTTGTATTTAACTAATTCTTATTTGTGTTTTTCATAATTTCTTCTTTAGAAAAAGGAGTTTATCCTTGTTAATCCATGCATTATTAAATAAAACAAAATTAAATAATTTTTTTTATAAAACTTTAGTATTTCATAAGATTGTCTCGAAAAACATATATAACAATTAGTAAAAGCTTATATAAAATTAAAAAGCTAATTTTTTTTATTTAATATTGGTGAGAATATTAGTTTTTGAAAAACATTTGAATTTAATTTTTATATATTTATTTGCAAAAGAACGAATAATATTAAAATAAAAACTATATTAATTTGACTTTCAACTATTAATGAATTAATTTGAGTTTTTTTTTTTGTAAAACAATGAGAAAAAATTATTTGAAATACACTTTTAATCTAAAAACGTATTTTAGACAAATTATATATATTAATCATGCCACTATAATTTAAAAGTTATCTAAATCCATTTTTGAAAAGAAAAAATAATCATGTTCTAAAAATATGTTCCAAAATCCGTACATATAAAACAATAAATCAAAATTATCAGTAAATATAATTTTAAATTAATTGGATGAAAATTTTTAAAAATAACAAATTAAAGTAGTAAATTTTAAATAATAAAAATAATTAACAAAAAATCTTAAACAAAGTGGGACCAAATCACAATATATTCCAAGTTTGAAATTGAATAAAAAAATTAAAAAGTAATGTAGTAAATTTTAAATAAGATAAAAAACTAAGAAAAAATTATTTGAAAAATAATTTTAATCTAAAAAAGTATTTCATACAAATTATATATATATATATATCATGCCACTATAATCTAGAAATTATCTAAATCTATTTTTTTTTTAAATAATAATAATCATGTTCTAAAAATTTATTCCAAAATGCATACATATAGAAAAATAAATCAAAACTCGTCAATAAATATAATTTTAAATTAATTAGATGACAATTTATTTTTTTAAAAAGACAAATTAATTCATAAATTTTAAATAATAAAAATATATTAAAAAAAAACACTAAAATAAAATAAGATCAAATCACAATATAATCAAACTTTGAAATTGAAACAAAAAAAAGAATTTTAAAAATGATAAATTAATGTAGTAAATTTAAAATAATATAAAAAATCGAGAAAAAATTATTTCAAATATACTTTTAATATAACGATTTATTTTAGACAAATTATATATATTAATCATGCCACTATAATTTAAAAATTATCTAAACCAATTTTTCAAAAGAAAAAATAATCATGTTCTAAAAATTTATTCCAAAATCCATACATGTAGAAAAATATATGAAAAATGTCCATAAATATAATTTTAAGTTAATTAGATGATAATTTAAAAAAAAATGACAAATTAAAGTAGTAAATTTTAAATAATAAGAATAATTAACAAAAAATACTAAAACAAAATGAGATCAAATCACAATATAATTAAAGTTTGAAATTGTAAAAAAGAAACAGATTTTTTTTTAAAAAATGACAAATTAAAGTAGTAACTTTTAAATAATAAAAATAATTAACAAAATACACTAAAACAAAATGAGACCAAATCACAATACAATTAAAGTTTGAATTTGAAAAAAAAAAGTGTAGAAAAATTGAGAACCAAAGTGTTACAAAAATACTATGAATAATAAAAAGAATAGTGATTTATGGGTATGTAAATAATATTTTAAATAATGAATAAATAGTTTACTTTAGTTTTATTGATAATGTACTGACTTGTAAGTGGTCTTAGAATTTATGATCCATCAAATTAAATAAAATACGTTGTGGGCTAGAGAATATTTTATTTTTTTATCATTATTTTTTCCCCCTTAACGGTCAAGGTATTTTTGAGCTAGCTTTCGATCTCATGTAGGCAAACCATTCACATTCATATTGATGCATTCACAAGCGCATTGGATTCGATAGAATATGCATTGCTTTTCTAAGTGCTAAACATATATATAGACTGCTCGGGATGCTTTTAAGAGTGAGAGATTACAACTTGCTGATAATGCATTTGGTTTTGAAAAAGTGATAAGTCACAAAGTAATTATTCTGTGATACAGCATCCATTAAAGTTATATTCCCTGAATGCAACGTTGAACAAAGTTGTAGATAATTTCCCAGAGACCTCAACCCTGTTAGCTTGAAGGAGCATTGTGCCTTCATCGAAACCAATTGACCTGAAAAAAATTCGAACACATATCTACATGATCAAATGCTAATGTTGAAAGCTTACCTTGTTTCCTCTTCTGAGAGTTTGAACCATTGCCAAAACCGGGGATCATTGCCCCATATGATATTTAGAGCCTTGGCTGGCAATCTGCATGTTGCAGGACATGCTAAGTCTGACGATATTGAAGAGCCATCCTATAGAATAAACATTAACTTCATCAAATAAGCATAATTCACGACAAAGTATTTGAAAATAATCAACTACATAATTACTTTAGTGGTAACAAAATGATTGCGGTTTTATGAAAATAAGATCAACTTATTCTATCGTGTCATCTTCTTCCCCTCCTCTTTTTTTCATCTAAAAATTTAAGCCATCACTTAAGAGAATCAGAAACTTTATTCTGAAAGTGAAATGAGACAAAGTCAGATTCAATCTCTATATGCCAGCAGGATCTTGAAATAGTTCTTACAATGTCCTGCATAAGTTCCTAAACTATGAATTGAGCATGTCCCTAAGAATATGAGTAACCAGAGATGAACAAGAGTATTAAAAAAAAAAAAAAAAAAAAAAAAAAAACCAGGGGAAACCACTTACAGCCTTCCAGTGAGGGCCAGAGAGAGCGTCTGATCTTTCCTCATAATCCAAATCGAAGCTCAAAGTTTTATGCACTAAAAAACTAAAAAGAAAGAAGGTATATAAGCACTAGCAATCTAGCTAACAGAATTATTATTACCCTCAAGTTGCGTAAAGCTAACATCGGATTTACGTGTGGTGATAAGGAAGAACAATATTTCATGGCCCATACCTTAACTTAGTTCTCAGTTGTCTCAGTTTCTTTGTTTTTCCCTTTTTGCTTTTCTGTCTACCCTTCTTTATCTTGCTTTCATTCTTTAATTAAGCTTCTCTTGAACAAGTCAAGGATTTATTAGCACGATAAGAATGGTTTCGGCAAGAATTTGTAACTAAGAAAGTTGAAGAATTGCTTCAAGAAATCGAAAGATGTACAAGGACGAATACAAATGGAATATGGAAGTAATTTCTTGAAGTGCAAGATATGAACTAGTAGGGATAAGATTACAGTATAAAGTAAGGACACATTACGAAGGCATAGTTAAAGGTGAGGGAACAAAATCCTTTTCTAAATCACACGCCATTTGAAGTGATTTCTCGTGTAGATCGTGATTCTGAATTACTGGCCGTAAGAAAATTATAGCTCTCCACAACTAATCTGCAGATGGTCTTTAGAGTCTGTCATTAATTCTAATAGTTTCACCTCAACTTACATACTTTAGTCACTGCCCTTACTACATGGTTCTTAAAATAGCTAAGCATTCTCAAACACAAGTTCAAAGATATTGTGCTTCTCCTTTCCTCTGACCCCGTTGTCTTGGTAGAAGTGACTATAATGGTTAATTTATGAGTGATAAATACAAAAACATTTGACAAGACCTGCAATTGAACTCATTACCATGGTCTATTACTAAGATGGAATCCTAGTTTCATAGACTAAAATGACATATCAAGCAACTGTCATGCTTTAAGTACTACTATTGAAATCTTTATCAGTTTAAATGCGATTAATTAGACTTCTACCAACACCGTATATACCAGCATTCGGGAGAATTTGTCAAATTTATTAGCAGTATTTTGAGACTTTGAAAAAAGCTGAATCAGTTTTATGACAATAAATTTTGGCTTTGCTTGTTTCATATGAAACCATGACAGAATTATCATTTTATAGCTAGAAAGCAATCATTAAAGTGAGTTCAGTTGAAGATAGAACAAAAGAAAGCATTAATTTATTTGATAGCAGAACAATAGTATATAAAAACACGCCACGAATGATAGGTAGAGCTTGGTAATACAAGACAGGTCTCATTATTATGTTAACATCTTAAACAGTATGGTAAGAGACTGCTTTATTTGAACCAAAGTTTAAGATACTTTTTGAACTGTGGCCTTGTGAATCCGCAAACCTCCCTTCCATTTCCCACTCCACACTTCATACAAACCAAAATAGAGCTTTCTATCTTCTGATCCTCTATCAACTTCAATCTGAAAGTCTGGGGGAACTAATTTCTTATCTGGGCCTAGATCTGCTATGTTGATTTTGATCCATTTGTATTTTCCCGTCTTCCCTATCTTAGCCATCATGAAAACAGGACAGTTATTCCAACCGAATGCACCTTGTTCCAGTGATACTTCAAATTTAATTTCGTACTTCCCTACTGGTAGGGCTTCCTTTGTTTTACCTGTTAGTTCAAGCCAACTCACTTGTACCAGCTCTGCTGGTTTTTCCGGGCTGCAATATTGAAGTTCGAATAGTTTAGTAAATGTCTGCGTTTGCTTAGCAAAGTTGACGTATCAAATGCTATGAAACTAAGTTCCTTTTCCTGCTAAGACTAAATATCAAATTTTTTTCAGAAACTCTAAGAGAACATGCATTCTTACTGGTTCTCTTCAGGCAAGTTCCAGTAGCGTTTGTCTTTACCCCATATGATGCTAAAGCCCCTAGGGTTAAACGTCCAGCGGTTATTTTCCTGTAAACACGAAGAGGAATTCTCATCAAGGGATAGCTTTCAACTTGAAATGATATGATAGTCTTACATACATTTTGCCATGTAGAGAATTAGATAATTTATATTGGGTTCATCAAAAGACAAATTGGGTGGTCCTTTTTCAACTTTTTATTAATCATTTCTTGTTTAAAAATTTAATATGAGATATATTTTTTAACATTCTCCTTCACTTGAGCTGATTTTTTGAGATCTGACAAGTGTCTTGAGGTTTAGGCGGTCTCTTTGAGACACAATACTATATAGAATTCATAGTTAAGATTGAGTTCTTTTTAAAAGGTTTAATCAAATTTTATGACATTGATCTTTTCTCAACTCTATATATTACTCATTTTTAGTTTAATTACTCAATATAAAATATGTTTTTTAATACTTTGCATAACTGCTTAAAACCAAAATACTATGCTTCAAAAACTGACTTTTCCTTTAGGAGGCCTAATCTACAAACAAATACTGATGAAAAGATAAATGGTATTCTGACCTTTTCGTATTTCACTTCATCGGGATCTGCCTCGTAATGTGGTTTATTTGAGGACGACATCTTGAGAGCAAATAAATTCTATTGTTAGTTTTGAGAGGAAAAGATGATATAATTATGGATCCTTACGAAGCCTTTTATATTCAGCACCGAAGATGGAAATCTTTTATCACTTCATAAATATGTCAGCTTCCAAGATATGAACATCAAAAAGAAACTCAACCACACAAAGGAAAAAAGAAAGGAATATAGCTTGGGACGGCTAAGGGATCAAGTAAATGTGCTCGACTTTATCCGAACGAATGGAACCTAAACTTTCGCTTTTCTTTTCTTCTAGTGTTAGTGGTCCATATATGATCAAGAAAAGGATCGATCCGCTTGGTAGCAAGAGCTGAACTTTAACATGGGGCGTGCACGTGTAGTGGTTTTGATAGATAAAAGTTAAAGTGTGGTAAAAAATTTTGAAAATATTTGTTTCCTAGCAAGATGTTAATTCCAAGTTATAAAGAAATGAAAAAGAGAAATACTTCATAAAGTAGATCTTTTGTAAAGTTTTAAATTTTTGGAAGAATTTAGAGGGAAACTAAGCGCATGAAATTAATTAGTTATATATATATATATATATATATATATAAAAGGAAATTGGCAGTTCGCTAATTAAGAAAAATCATCGATAATCACATTCGGAGATGGATTTGCGATGGTCGAATTTCATCGCTAAAATGCTTGTCCCTAAACGTAGCGACCGAAGAAACATGTCCGTTGCTAAATAGTGATGAAAATTTTGTCTCTAAAAGGCTAAATTCTCGTTGCTAATACGTCGTCAATCCTAGGATTTCATTGTAGCAATTCCATCTCAAAATCCATCGCTAAATGTTTCTATCGCTATTCTGGTCACTATTTTAAAACATTAAGCTATTACTATTCCATCGCTATGTTTGTTTTTTTTTTAAAGAAACATTATGCTATTTTTTTAAAATTTGTGATATTCTCGATAGTAATTAACAATTAGAAAAAATGCATTATTAAAATTTATTTTTATTAAAAATGAAAATTAAATAAATAAGTACAAAAATTATATGTTAGTATGTAAAAAAAAGAAAAGAAGAGAAATGTCACTCATTCCGATCATTCGATCCCCTCTCCTCATGCTATGGCTTGGTGGAAGGGATAGATCTACAAGCAATCCGAATGTCTACACTAGCCTAGTCAACATAGAGGTAAGTGTGTCATACCGAGACTACAACCTCTCGTATGAAACTTTGCCGCTACGTGACAATGTTTTGCGGCTCGTCTTGTTTGGCCTCGCATCCCCCGTATTGTTTGCTTCGCCTCCTCGTATTGCCTCCGAACCTCTTCATTAGACACATCTTTGGTATAATATGATGACACAGAGGACGAGCCGGGGCCACTTGATCGGGATAGATAATGCGATGCTTGTGTGCCTACACTATATACCCTTTTCTTTTTCTCTTCTATAGTCTCGAGGTATATAGCATTCTTGTCAAGCTCGGCTCCGGGATTCCTTTCGCCTATTGCATTGCAACAACTTCCTCTTCAACACGCTCTTGTATAATCGAAATAATTATATTGTTAAAAGATTAAAATAAATTTTAGATGATATTTGCATATATAAAATTTAATAATGAAAAAAACTTACTATCTTCGTCGCTTGTGAGTCACTTGAAATGGCTCAAAACTCATTGGCTCGCGCCCTAATTTTGCCTCATGAAAAAAATAAATCACAAATAATATGAGATGCAAATTAAATTTTTTTGAAACACATAATTAATAATAAAAAGTATGTAATTTATCAAGCGACGGCCGGCTCTTTCGAGATAGACCCCCCGTGTGCTTAGAAGTGGCCCTCACCCGATCCATCGATCTCCGACATCCGGTTCCGCAACGTCCGTTCCGAATGAACCTTGCTATGAGATTTGGTAAAATCTTGATGCCACGAGTCTCAAACCTCTTACCTAATAAATTAAGGCCATTCGGACATTGAATCATGGCCGTGGATGAAGTTAGAGTAGTGTTTCCTTGCCGAGGCTCTCAAGCTTCTCCGGCAATCGCCTCGATGGTCGGATCCCAATGAAAATATTTCTACACAAATTAAAATAATTAATATTAACTACTTAAATTAATGGAAATTAAAATTTTAAATATAATAAAACCAATTTATAAAAAATTATTCTAAATTCACAAAAGTAAAATTATTTAGTGACATCCGAGATGAACTTTCACGCGTACCCACCGATGTCCAACTCGCATCTTGAAAATCTTGGTTATCCCGGCGAATAGTCTTTACTAGGTGGACTAAAACTATTGAACATAGAAAAGAAATAGTAAGTAATTATAGAAATGATATATTAAAATAAACAAATAATAACAATGTCTTTACGGAATAACATACCGTTTATGAGCGATAGAAATAATCCACCAATTGGATAAACTTTGAGAGCTCTCCGGAGTGGCGAGATACATCTATGAAAGTGGCACCCGGTTCGATCTCGTGCCGGAACCCGTGTAGCCAATGTGGGAATCGCTATGACCGGAGACGCTATAGATGTGTTGGCTTCGTGGGACATCCCCGACCCATATACAAGTGCTTGAAGTTAGAGATCCCCAACCGATGTTGGTTGACGATCCTCGTGGGTTGTCGTCAACCGAGGATGCACTTCCACGACTACCCGAATCACGTGTCATAATCAAATAATATAACCTAAGACAATTAAATTAAATATCAATATTAATTAACAAATTGTAATATTATAATCATAATTCATCTAATTAATTTAATTATTATAATCAACTAAACATAATAAAATTAATTCTAATTCAAATGTTTACTAATTTTAAATATTAAAAATAATTAATAAATTATAATATTATAATAAAAATTTAATCTAATTAATTTAATTATTATAATCAATTATTATCCATTTGGACTATAATTAATGTTAAAAATCAATCAATAAAATCAAATAATCATAATTAAATTAATTCTGAATCAAATTAATTTATTATATTAATCGTAACTAATTACACTATTAATCCTAATTAAAATGTTAATTATATTTTAAATTCACAACAAAAAAATTAATAATTAATATTAACCTAACAATTAATAAAAACAATAAATAAAACAACAAATCAATTAAAAAATTAAAAATTAATATTGATCTAACAATTAACAAAAAAAAAATAATAATAATTAACAAAAATTTGACATACTAATTAATAAAAAATAACTAGCAATGAACAAAATTAACCTAATAACTAACAAAATTAATCTAATTAAAAAAATTAAAGATCTAGAGAGAGAAAAAATATTACCAAAGGCGAGGAGGAAGAAGAGAGACTAGCAACGGATATCGGAGAGAAATTTATGCCTTCTAAGACCGAGTAGATTGGGGTAGCATGAGGCGGTGATTGGGGGTTGTTGGGGGTGGCGGCAGTGGTGGAGGAGAGGAGGAAGAGAGGGAAAGGAGGAAATATGGGAGGAAGAAAAAGAGGTTGCAAGGTAAAAGGGTTTAGAATTAGCAACGGATGCGTTTCCACCGCTAATCCGTTAGTAATTACCGATGAAAGTAAGTGTTTATCGCTATTTTGAATTTCAAACGTTCACTTGAACTCGTCCGAAACATTGAGAAATTCGCCAAAATTTGTGACAAAATTATGTTCGATCACTAATCCGTTGCTAATTAAACACAAAAGTAAGTGCCTATCGCTATTTTGAATTTCAAACCTTCACTCAAACTGTCTAGAAAGTTTGAGAAATTCGCCAAACCTTGGGACGTTTAGTTGCTAATTCATCACTACTTAATGACGAAATGGTCGTATCCATCGTTGATTTAAATCTTCAACGATCGCTAATTTTATTTACAAAATTTCACAAGTTTTGTCAATGATCGACGATATGGTATTCTTCAATGAATAGTGATGGACTAGCGACATATATACAACATCGCTTGCCCCAATGCTGCACTTGGCGACAAAATTTGTTTTTTGTAGCCAAATCCTCTTACAAGATCGTCGCTAATCCGTTGTTGATTATTCAGTAGCGACATAATGTATTTTGTTGTTATATTTTCGTCTCAAAATCGTCGCTATTCGAGTTACTATATGATTTTTTTTCCTTCGTTATTCAATCACTACTAAGTAGGTAAAGTAACTTTTGTTGCTAATTGTCGATTTTCTTGTATATATATATATATATATATCTTTTGCAATCCTTTTTTAAAATTCCTTTTTTAAAAAAATTATGCATTTTCAAGATAAATTCTCTAAACGAAGTTTCGAAGTATTACTTGCAATTCTTTGAATGCAAAAATTTAATCCCAAAAAATCACTACAACATTATAGTAGAGGTAATAATCATTTTAAGGACAATATTAAAAGATTTTTACACACAATTAAGCACTATGATCTTCTATTTTTATTTTTAATTCGGTCACTGTTATTTTCTTATTAAGAACACGCGCAGTATATAAGATGTTTTTTACAATCAAGAAACTAACGAACATGTCTATGTACGCACATGCATGCACGTAGACAATTTTCCAGCTGCCTAGCCACAGAATCAAACATAAATACAAGGGAAAATTGAGCAAATTTTGCATATGAGAGAGTTGAAAAGGAATATTGCAGTACAATAATTTTAAGGAATAGTAACGTCATCTTGATTTGGATACTTTTTTTTTCAAAAAATCCGAATAACACCACCATCCCCAACTTTTCAAGTTGAATTCAATGGACGGCTAAAAATATGAGCAAATTAATTTGGCATTTCTGTATGGTATTGTGAAAGTATGCCACTTTATACACTTTAGAATATGGAAGAAAAGTTGGAATTTCTAAGCGCAATCCAAATTCTAGTTAGCCAGTGCGTTCATATTCTAAATCACTTCTGTTGATTGCTATCAGAAAAGCGAAGCAAAAGATGGATTCCAACAACTTGATGTCAAATTGTGTTTGGATTTCTACGCGCAATCCAAATTCTAGTCAGCTAGTGTGTTCATATTCTAAACTACCTCTGGTGATTGCTATCAGAAAAACAAATT